CCAAGGAAAACTTGAGTAACTCTCCAAAATGGCCAAAGCCTTCACCTTCAATACCGTCCTCAGCAGGCAGACAAGGATGTTGAGGGTGGGGAGAGTCAGTTCTGGGAGGTTCCCAGGAAGACCACAGTAAACCTGGGTGAGGTTGTCTTGAGATTTCAGTCTGAAATCTTTCACTGATAAGATACAGATTTGGACACCCTTACACATGGAGATTTCCCTTACAAATGTTAATGTTTCTTCCAAAAGGCCAACTCCTCCTGGGTTTTCAGTGTTTTTCCTTTGCCTGCTGTTTCTTAGAGAATAACCAGCTTGAAATAATTAATATGCCAAAGCGACATATTTTAGGGGAGCAGATTCTGCTGCTTCTAAAGCAGATTCCTATACAGCACAAGGGCCCTGTGGGTCCCCTGGGTTGCTTCCTCCACTGGGCTGTCTTTGGTGTTGCTCAGTGGGCGGCTCCTTCGCCTCAGGCTAAGCCCCTTCTCCCATAACTGTTGGGTGTTTTGATACAGAGAGCTGACCCTCTACCCTGCAGCCTCACTACATGGTAAAAATAAAGGTTTTCCATAAAGGTTTTCTGGTTTTAGCAGAAGTTCTGATATCTATGCACATGCATACACGTGTGGAAATAAAGATTAACAGCTGTAGAAAGGGGACTGTGAAAGGGACAGTCAGAAGTTTGTCACTGTTTTAAGCAGATATATTTTGTACAATAAGAATGTCTAACTCTTAATACATGTTCTCATCAGTCCAGAGCAGTCGCTCAGTCATGTCCAACTCTTTGCAACCCCACAGACTGCAGCATGCCAGGATTCCCTGTCCATCACCAACTCCTGGAGTTTGCTCAAAATCATGTCCATTGAGTCGGTGATGCCATCCAACCATCTCATCCTCTTTTGTCTCCTTCTCCTCCTGACTTCAATGTTTCCCAGCATCAGGGTCTTTTCCAATGAGTCAGTTCTTTACATCAGGTGGCCAAAGTATTGGAATCAGCATCAGTCCTTCCAGTGAATATTCAGGATTGCTTTCCTTTAGGATTGACTAGTTTGATCTCCTTGCAGTCCAAGGGACTCTCAAGAGTCTTCTCCAACACCACAGTTCAAAAACATCATTCTTTGGTGCTCAGCTTTCTTTATAGGTCAATTCTCACATCCATACATGACTATTGGAAAAAGCATAGCTTTGACTAGATGAACCTTTGTTGGCAAAGTAATGTCTCTGCTTTTTAATATGCTGTCTAGGTTGGTCAGATTTTCTTCCAAGGAGCAAGTGTCTTTTAATTGCATGGCTGCAGTCATCATCTGCAGTGATTCTGGAGCCCAAGAAAATAAAGTCTCTCACTGTTTCCATTGTTTCCCCATCTATTTGCCATGAAGTGTCAGGCTTCAATAGTACGTGAACTCTGAACTTCCAGATGTTCAATCTGGATTTAGAAAAGGCAGAGGAACCAGTGATCAAATTGCCAACATCTGTTGGATCATTGAGAAAGCAAGAGAGTTCCAGAAAAATATCTACTTCTGCTTTATTGACTATGCCTAAGCCTTTGTGTGGATCACAACAACCTGGAAAATTCTTAAAGAGATAGGAATACCAGACCACCTTACCTGCCTCCTCAGAAATCTGTATGCAACAGTTAGAACCAGACATGGAACAACAGACTCGTTCCAAATTGGGAAAGGAAAATACGTCAAGGCTGTATATTGTCACCCTGCTTATTTATCTTATATGCAGTGTACATCGTGCAAAATGCCGGGCTGGATGAAGCACAAGCTGGAATCAAGATTGCTGGGAGAAATAGCAATAACCTCAGATACGCTGATTACACCACCCTTATGGCAGAAAGCGAAGAACTAAAGAGCCTCTTGATAAAAGTGAAAGAGGAGAGTACAAATGCTGGCTTAAAACTCAACTTTCAAAAAACTAAGATCGTGGCATCCGGTTCCATTACATGTTCTCATTACTTTTAAATTAAAAGGCACAATGACTGAATTATAAGGGTATGAGTCTGGAGAAAAACGATGCAATGGCTGGCTTGTTCTTGTATGCATTTCATTGGGAACCATGTTTTAGTCTTTCTTAATGTCTTGAAACATTTCCTAATTTCAGGCTTACCACCACTGTCTGATCTGAGCCAGAAGTTAAGATTAAAAAATAAAAGGACTTGGGTCTGAAAATGAAAATGCATAGTTTTCCTAGGACATGGAGCTTGGGAAATACCAAATACTTGGGAATGTTTATCAGAAAAAACCGTGAGTCAAGGAGGTTTTCAAAATCTAGTCAGGGAGGCTCCTGACTAACTTGACTGAAGAAGAGAAAGGAAGGGACCAGCAGTTGCTCTGCTGCTTTCACTCTTTGCTTCCTCAGTTCACTGTCACTGCCAGGATTGGGGTCAGCCGGGGAAGTGGTGGGGAGTGGGGCTTTGAAGTCCCAGTGGCCTAGGGTCAAGCTCCTTTTCTGTTAGCTGTGTGACCTCAAGCAAGTTAATGAACCTCTCTGAGTCCCAGTGTCTGCATTTGTCAAATGGCCTTCATAGGCTTATTGGCAATGAGAAGATCCAGAAAGATTTTAAACACCCATAACTGCAAATAACACCATTGTTTTCTTCCTGGTTTTTCATTTATTCATCCAAGATTCTGATTTGATGGGCCCAGAAAAATGGTTTTTAGAAGGCACTCTGAGAGTTCTAATGTCTTCAAGTCCACACCTTGTGAAATGCTGTTCCTGGGAGATCAGGAGCAGTTTGGGCATCATGGTGGAGGGCAGGGCTGCCACTTATATGCACAAAGTCTGCGTGTCCGTGGGGCACGCATAGCTGAGCTCTAGACCTGCAAGGCTCCCGGCAGTGACTGTTTTCGGGGGAGGGTGCAGAGGGTGGTGTGTATGTGCGTGTGTGTTTGTGTTATGCAGGGTGTGCTTGGACACTGAAGAACATTCCCTCTGGGGGAGCACGAAGGGTGGGGGACAAGGGAGCAGGGTGGGGGTCCATGTGTGCGGTGCCAGGGAGCTCAGCCCAGGAAGTAGTGAGAAGCCCTGGAAGGGCAAAGACATGATAAGGTCCTGCAGAGGGGCAGACCAGGAGAGTGAGACAGTGATTGTGAGAGTGTGAGAACCAGGGAGAGAGCGAGCTTGCAGGCAGGCAGAAGCCGTGTGCGCTGAGGAGGGGAGAAGTTTGAGAGATGGGTTGGAGGAAGCGTGGAAGGAGTCTGATTGTGCTGCTTGCTGAGAAAGAGGCAGCAAGAGTTAGTGATGACTTGGAGGTTCCAGTTAGGTGACCTGATGATTCTCTGCAGAGACAGGTCAGGAGGAGCAGGTTTTCTTGGAGAGAAGAAGGCAAGGACTAGCTCCCGCTGACTGTAGGTAAAGTGCTGAAGTGACCCTCGGGCCTTAAGTACCTGGAAGTCAGGGAGGAGGCCTGCGAAGGGGTCAGAGATCTAGGATCTGAAGCTTTGGCCTGAAGGCGGGCCTGAGGCAGTGTGTGGAGGGCACACCGAGGTGGTCCTAGGAAAAGCCAATTGCCAGGACCTGATGAAGCTGGGAGATGAAGCACCTGGACCGGGGAGAGGCCCCCGAGACGAGAGGAGGGCGGAGACCAGGTGAGGGACACTGGAAGCCACCGCTGAGCCTGTCACCTGCTTCATCTAGAGAGGTGGTCCCTGAGGACGGAGCGGGCCGCTTGGGCTTGTTGGGCGGGGGTCCTCGGTGCCTCTAGCTCCAGTGGTTTCTATACGTGGGAAAAAGCAGAAGGCTGGTGGCTTTGAGTCTGGGAGAGGATGGGGAGTGCGAGGCGGAGATGGGGAGTTCTCCCTTGAGACCTACCGTGAGGCTGAGCAGGGCAGAGCAGGGGTGGGGATGCAAACACCAGGTCAGGAAAGTGGAAGGACCAGTGAATTGAATGGGGGAGCTGTCCAGGCCCTTCATTTCCCGGAAGTGCTCTATCTGAGGGAGGAGGCTGGAGAAGCAGGTGAGAAGACCTTGGAGTGAGGGGGCGAGCAGCCTCTGTGGGAACCAGGAGGAGGGACGGGAGGCCAGCATGGCGGGGCGCGGTTGACGGACGAGCTGGAGACGTGCGGAGTGGGGATTCGGCGCGGTGACCCTGTGCGCGGTGGACGGATGCGCTGGAGACGTGGGGCGTGGGGATTCGGCGCGGTGACCCTGTGCGCGGTGGACGGATGCGCTGGAGACGTGGGGCGTGGGGATTCGGCGCGGTGACCCTGTGCGCGGTGGACGGATGCGCTGGAGACGTGGGGCGTGGGGATTCGGCGCGGTGACCCTGTGCGCGGTGGACGGATGCGCTGGAGACGTGGGGCGTGGGGATTCGGCGCGGTGACCCTGTGCGCGGTGGACGGATGCGCTGGAGACGTGGGGCGTGGGGATTCGGCGCGGTGACCCTGTGCGCGGTGGATGGATGCGCTGGAGACGTGGGGCGTGGGGATTCGGCGCGGTGACCCTGTGCGCGGTTGACGGACGAGCTGGAGACGTGCGGAGTGGGGATTCGGCGCGGTGACCCTGTGCGCGGTGGACGGATGCGCTGGAGACGTGGGGCGTGGGGATTCGGCGCGGTGACCCTGTGCGCGGTGGACGGATGCGCTGGAGACGTGGGGCGTGGGGATTCGGCGCGGTGACCCTGTGCGCGGTGGACGGATGCGCTGGAGACGTGGGGCGTGGGGATTCGGCGCGGTGACCCTGTGCGCGGTGGACGGATGGCCTGGAGTTGTGGGGCGTGGAGATTCAGCACGGTGACCCTGTGCGCGGTGCTCCTGGTACCCGAGGTGTGAGCTGACCGGCAGGGCTTCACCTGCACACTCCAAAGTCACCTCTATCCCTGTGGTTTTGAGTCCGGCTGGACTGGGGAGCGAGGGGGCAAGAATAGCCTTGAGAAGGGAGAGTTATCCCACCTGTCAACGTTTCTGGAGAAACATAGTATGATCATTTTGAAGACTTTCATAATTATTTGTATAAAATTATATGTTTATAAAACTGTTTTTCTTTTCTTGTTCTAGTGATGATCACAATGCCTCTTCAGAAGAAAAAGGTATGAACTCTTAAGTCAACGTTGAGTAATCGAAAAACTCAAGCTGTACTGTGTGGAAATTTGCACTTTTAGAAAATGATTTCTTTATTCATTTTATTTATTGGCTGCAACTGCCTCATTACATTCATGCAGTCACCAACTTACAGAAATGGTGTTGAAATAATCAATAGGTTAGGATGATGGGATAGTGACAGTTTTTCAGAATTTTCCTTAAGATTATTTGTCAACAGATATTTAAAACAATGAAATGTAAAGAATTCATACCTTTGTGGTTTTTATAACTTAAGAACAGAAAACAAATGCTCTTACATCTCTTTCCTTTTAAACTCTTGCTCTAATGTTCTTTTAACCTTATTTTAAATTCAGTAGAGTAAGAATGGAGAAGCATTGTCAGTGGAATTCTCTAATTGTTCTATGCACAAGTAGATATTTTCTTTAATACTTGAGTGTTATCATCAATTATAGATACTTAATGAAAATAGCAACACCTAATTCTATCCCTGAAACTGGGTCAAGTAAAACCTCTGCTATTAAAAGAAGGTCATGGTCTAGGTTTAGGGGTTGCTGAGGCTTGAGTCCCTTCTCTCAATTTCTCTCTCTGACCAGCAAAGTACCGGCGCCTTCCTTACTTTCATATTGTCCTGATTTCATTTGTGTACTGCATGGTCCTTCCCTGTCCTCACACATGCTATTGGCTGGGACTTGGATTTTCTCCTAATTTTTGCAGAGTGCCCATCACACGGTGGACAGCAAGTCAGTGAAGGGACAGTAGTCTCTGCCTGCGCCGAGGGAAAGCAGTCAAGCAGTAATCGAGCCCCTTCTGTTCACCAGCCTGGCGTGGGTGAATGTTCCAGACGAATGAAATGGAAGAGTGCTAGGTGCTGTTCCATGAGCCATCTGATTGAGCGTGGCATAAATACAGATGAGGGGCCTGGTAACTAAGTGGCCGTCCTTCCCTACACAGAAATACTCTTGCTCTAGTTGATATTGTTGGTAACTTCTGCAACAGTTACCCCTTCTTCTCGTTTTCTATAATATTTACTATAATATCTCCATTCCCATGCACCTACACTGGCCTTGGCTCTTATCACTTCGTAGCTGAATCACTGCAGTGGGGTTTTAGACTCTCTGGAGTCTAATGCATCTTGAACAACAGTACCCACCGCCCCCGTCACCAAAGTCCACCAGCATCTAGGGGAACACCAAGGCCCATTTCAGCTTGAAGTACTCATGTAATTCTGCATCTCCGTGTCATTCCCTGTAGGAGAACCATCCCCCAAGGCCAGTTCTTCTCAATTTGCATTTGAGGCCCTCCCTAGTCTGGTCCCAACTTCTCTGGATCCTCACCTCCAACCTGTCTGTGTCATTTCACTAAATCAGTGGTGGTGGTTTGCATGAATTGACTGTTCAGTGGGAAAGGACTCTGACTCTCTTGTATAGTAACACCATTGTCTGCTCTTCAGTTACAAAATCTAAAACCAGGTGCTTTTTTTCCCTTTCTGGTGTCAAGTTACTTAATCACCAGGGGTGTTTTTAGGGAGCGGCTAAGTTGATCAAACAAAGAGACAGTGCCACTCCTTTGGCACAGAACTGAGAGGTTGCCAGGGACCCAACCAAAGGTCGTTATAAAGTTTATTGGCTTTCTGTTTGCCCTCTTGGAAAAGGCTTAAGGTTGCTTGGTCTAAATCTTTTTTCCTTTGAGAATATGGCCCTGCTTACCATTTGTAACTGGGTTTTAATTTGACTTGCAATGCCGCTTTGGGTTTAAAGAGGTGATTCAGTTTATAGAAGAGGAAACTGCTGTTATTTTTGGTTTAGCAATTTTTTACAAAAATGAACACAATCTTCTATTTTATCCTTGTATTTATACTACTAAACTTGATTTCTTTCTCAAAATTTAGATTGCCCCAGCCCCAGCCTAGATACTTCAGGGGACTCTAAATCAGGTAAGAGATATGATTAACATTGGTAAATGCCCAAATGAAATTTTTATGAAATAACCAATTCATCACAAGATAAATAACAATTTATTCTTCTGTTTTACTTTAAGCAATCTTCATGAAAGATAGGAGCTTTCATCTTTCTACTTGAAAGAGCTGATTAAGTTTTAAACTTTCATGGTTACCTAGCCTAGTGAAATCAGTAACTTAAACTTCAGTGATGAAGCTGTACTTAATGAAACTGAGAATTTATCTGATGAGGCAACTAGACCATTTTCTAGATTGGTTTCGCTAACCTAATACAGGGTCCTCTGCGAGTCCAGCTAGGTGGTGGATACTTGGCTGGGGTAGTCCTGGGAGGTTTTCCTGAGGAGGTGATGGTTGACTTGAACTCTGAAGGATGCATTGCAGTAACAGGGCAAAGGTGGGGACAAGGGTTATATACTTACAGGTGTAAATGTCCCCATGTGGGGAAGTGCACAGTGCTTGTTTGCAGAGACTGAAGAAGGTCAGATGACTAGAATCAGCGAGGGGAGAGGTGGCAGGGCCAAAGTGCATCTGTAGAGCAGGTGGGGCTAGATTGCATAGGACCTTTGGATTACAAAATCTTTACTCCAGAGTGCATGTACAAATGACCAATAAGTACTTGAAAGATGCTCAGTATTATTTCAGGGAAATACAGTTCAAACCCACAGAAAGATGCCACTTCACAGCCACTGGGGTGACATGAAAAAGATAATAGCAAGAATTGTCAAGGATGCGGAGAAATTGGAAGCCTCATACACTGCTGATAGAGGGCTTCCCCAGTGGCTCAGTAATAAAGAATCCTCCTGCAGTGTAGGGGATGCAGAAGAGGTGGGTTCAGTCCCTGGGGTGGGAAGATCCCCCTGGAGGAGGAAATGGCAGCCCACTCTAGTATTCTTGCCTGGAGAATAACACCAGAGGAGCCTGGTGGGCTACAGTCCATAGGGTCACAGAGAGTCAGACACGACTGAACACCGACACCCACCCACACTGCTGATAGGAATGTAGATTGACACAGCCACCTGGGAGAAGAGTTTGGTAGTCCTCAAATAGTTAAATATAATTGCCACTTGACCCAGGAACTTCTCTCCCGTGTGTATAGCCAAGAGAAATGGAATCGTATGTCTACCAAAGAACTTGTGCATGAATGTTCACAGCGGCATTATTCATGCTATTCAAAAGTTGGAAGCAACCCAAAAGTCTTATCAAGTTTTAAACGCATAAACAAAATGTGGTGTGCTCATTTGTTTGCTGTGACTGCTGTGAGAAAGTGCCCTAGACTGGGGAGCTTAACCAGCAGAAGTATGTTGTCTCACATTCTGGGGGCTAGATGTCTGAGTCAGGGTGTTGGCAGGGTTGGTTCTCTCGGAGGACTAGGAGGGAGGGTCTGTTCCAGATCCCTTTCCTGGCTTTGTAGGTAGCCATCACCGTGATCTCATGATGTTCTCCCTGTGGTGTGTCTCTGGGTCTGAATTTCCCCTTTTGGTAAGGACACCAGTCATCTTGGATTAGTGTCCACCCTGATGACCTCATTTTACTTAAAGGTAAATACTTCTATGAAGACTGTATCTACACATAAGGTCATGTTCTAAGGTACTGTGGGTTAGGACTTAAAACATGAAGTTTTTGTGGGGGGACACAATTCAATATTATAACACCACACAGTGGAATATTATTCAGCCATAAAAAAGAACGAAGTGGTGATACATGCTACAACATGGTGGAACCTTGGAAACATGCTCAGTGAGAAAAGCCAGGTACAAAAGCCCATCTCATGTAATTCCATTTATGGAATTTATCTGGACATTTATGGAATGTCTAGAATATGCGAATCTATTCAGGCAGGAAATAAGAGTATTGGTTACCTAGGTCTAGGGGGAATGGGGAGATTGGAAGTGATAGTTAAAATGTACAGGGGATTTTAGGGGATGTTGAAAATGAAAAACTGATTGTTGTGATGGATGTACAGTTGTTGTTGCTTAGTCACGTCTGACTCTTTGCGAACCCATGGACTGTAGCCCACCAGGCTCCTCTGTCCATGGTGCTTCTCCAGGCGAGCATACTAGACTGGGTTGCCAGGCCCTCCTCCAGGGGATCTTCCCAACCCAGGGATTGAACCCAGTTCTCCTTCATTGTAGGTGGATTCTTTACCGTCGAAGCCACCAGGGAACTGTGAATACATGAAAAGCCATTGAGTTGTACACTTTGAATTATGTAGTGTGTGAATTAGATCTCAACGCGGGAGACCTGGGTTCGGTCCCTGGGTTGGGAAGATCCTCTGGAGAAGGAAATGGCAACCCACTCCAGTACTCTTGTCTGGAAAATCCCGTGGACAGAGGAGCCTGGTAGGCTACAGTCCATGGGGTCGCAGAATCGGACACTACTGAGCGACTTCACTCACTCACTCAAGGTTGTTATAGAAAAATAAAAAAGTTATATCAGAAGAAAAATACCTGAAGCTTGTCATCCAGAAAAAAAAAATCCATGTTTTCTTGAAAAAACTTAAGCTCAATCATTTCTGTGCCCAGGGCCGTTCGTCCTGAACCATTTTCTGGGACTGTGGTTTTTGCATGCTTGATTTACTCCTGTGATTAGGTTTATGTGCAACAGAATATATTTAGGACAGACAAGTAGCGAAAGTTGTCCCTCTAGTTTGTTTTCTTGCCCTTGTCATTTCTGAAAACAGGGCCACTTGGCAATCTTGTTGCCAGGTGGGAGTTTTTATCTTTATATCTGGAAGTTTAAGTATATTTCCCCCTTTTTCATCAAGGTAATTTTGTGCTGGTTTGGTGATTACATCAGTTATCTTTATGAGGTTTCTGTGTTCCTAGTGACTAAAGAAGAATGGTCCCTAAAGTTGTGCTAAGTACCCTTTGGTTTTAACGTCAAGTAAAAAAGTGGGAGAACGATGGTTTCGTAATATGCAACCAAAATGAAGATTAGAAGGAGATTGTGCAAGGACCGCTGTCTACGAAAGGAGGAGAAAGCCTGCTGCTGCCAACAGTGTCTGAAATTGAGAGTTAAAAATGTTCGAATGCAGAGTATAGTAGATAATTCAGATTCTCGAGTGAGGGGAGAGACACTTCAGGTCAGAGTGGGGTGAAGCCTTCTCAGCTGGCTGGAGGGAGGCTGGTCAGGAGGTGTAGGTGGGAATCCCCTGGCGGTCCGGTGGTTAGGACCCCACACTTTGACTGCTGCGGACCGGGCTTCTCGACCGGATGAGGCATGGGACTTGGGATTTCAGTTTGCCTGCTCTCACATTCCCGCTGTTCCCCTTCTCACCATTTTGTCCTTCCTTTCAAATTTTTTTTTTTTAAGATTTATTTTTAAAAAGTTTAGCCTATTTTTAGTGGAATAAAATGGGTCAAAAAAAGGGGTGTAGGTTTTGTCTGCATCTAGGCTGGCGTTCAGGACAGCTGGGTGTGGTGAACGTGGGACCCATCGGGATGAGAAAATGAGAGAAAAGAAACTCAGAGTCGGGGACTGTTTGCATGCTAGCTTCCCCAAACAGGGATCCTGCTGCTAGAGCTCTAACCTACGCAAATGTAGGGAGGGTTTAGTGCTGGTGGTAGCACGCTTGGGCTGGCCTGTCACTGGAGTTTAGGGGTGTGACCTGTTAGTAAAAATCACTACCTCTTAAAAATTGTGACTACTGTGTATGAGGCCCCGGGCTGGTCACTCTTCACAGACTTCTTATTTAGTTCTCAAATAATGTGCCATGAGAAAGAAAAAATGGTCCTGGGGGCTTGAGGGGGCTTGCAGGGCAGGGAAGCAGAAATAGAAATCAGGAGTCTTAGGCCCCAGCCCAGAGGGAAGGTGAATTGAAGGGATGGCCCCAGACTCCACTTCCCAGGGACCTGGAGCAGAAGGTGGGCCTCACCTGGGGCTGGTCCAGGCAGAATTACATCCCTGCAGAGATCCTAGGGGCTTCCTAGGTGGCGCTGGTGGTAAAGAACCCGCCTGTCAACGCGGGAGACATAAGAGAGGCAGCTTGGATCCCTGGGTCAGCAAGATCCCCTAGAGGAGAGCACAGCAGCTCACTCCTCTGTTCTTGCCTGGAGAATCCCATGGACGGAGGAGCCTGGTGGGCTACAACCCATGGGGTCTCAAAGAGTTGGACACGACTTAGCACGCGTGCGCGCACACACATACACGCAGAAGTCCCAGACTGCTAGAGGGAACTGGCAGAATAAAGACATGGTAGGGGCGGCTCGGTTCTTTAAAGCGGGGCAGAGCATTTGTTCGTTCACACATTCATCATTCATGGAGCATCTATAGTGATGGGTGCCAGGGGGATCAGGGTGGTGAGACATGGCCTCAGTCCTGCAGGGCTCATCCACCAACAGCTCAACAAGCAGCCACTGCTTGACAGGGGTAAACGGATGGATTGGAGAGAGGCATGGCTCATCTGACTTGGTGGGGCAGAGGGAGTCGGTCCGCAGAAGTGACTTTGGGCTGGCTTCTCATGGATACCTTGGGGTCTGGGGAAGGGCTATCCAGGCAGTGGAATGGTGTGTCTGAGGACTTGGAGGAAGGAGTGGTAATCACGCTGGGGTGCAGCTTGGGGGACGAGGAAGTGATGACAGTGGGTTGGTTGTCAGCCATGGTTCTCAGCCCTGGCTGTACATTCCAGTTATCTGGGGACCTTTACCAAAAATGCTAACCCCGATTAGTCAGTACCCCCTAAGGAAGGGCAGAATCCCAGGCATGGGTGTGTGTGTGTGTGTGTGTGTGTGTGTGTGTGTGTGTGAAGCTCCCTCGGTGGTATCAGTGTGCATCAAGGTTGAGAACCACTGCTCTGTGCTTTGAGCCCTGGAGGACCAAGGCCACGTCTTATCACTTTTGATTTCCCAGCCCCTGTCTCAGTGCCTTGCCTTCCACTCAGGCATCATCTCATGTAGGAACTGCCTCCTGCTCCCCTTCTTCCCACTCATCCTGTCCATCAGCAGCTCCTGGGTGTTAAACTGCTGAAGCAATAAGAAGCATGTTTGCAAGTGAAACAACATGGTTAAGAATGCAAGTTCAAGCTGGACTACCCAAGTTGATATCTTGGCTTCAGACTCCCTGGGTGGAGAATAGGAGGTAATGGGGTGGGTGGTAGTGGTGGTCTTACATAAGGAAATTAACTGACCTCAGCCTACCTCATCGGGCAGTTGTGAGGGCTAATGTGTTAACATATATAAAGCTCTTACATAAATATATGTAGATATATGTATGCACAATGAGTACATAAATGTAATTAATGAATACATGTAAATGAGTAAATATATATACTGTATAGTGCCTGGCACATAGTGAACACCCCGGAAAAACTGCTCTTAGCTGCTATATGATTGTTCTCATCTTTATTCTCAAATCTTTTTTTTCCTCCGTATGGCTATTGCCCATCTTTAGTTTTGGTTGTTAGTGTGTGTGTATGGAGGGAAGATCTGAGAATTGTATTAATAGCTTTCCATGTACTTATTCAAGGGATCCCAAGCAGGGTGAAGCGGGAGGAGCACTTGAAGGGGGTGGATGAGGGAGAGAGCGGTGCCTTGTTGCTTGTCTGCTCTGTCAGGAAGAGGTCAGGGCGCCCTGGGAGCTGGGGGTTGGAATCCGCTTTGGGAGTAGGTGATAGGTCGTTGCAGGGCTCTCGAGATAGAAAGCTGGGTGTGTGTGGGAAGTGGGGCCTGGGTATTAGTGGTTGGGTGGGCTTCCCTGGTACCTCTGACGGTGAAGAATCCGCCTGCAGTGCAGGAGACCGGGGTTTGATCCCTGGGTGGGAAGATCCCCTGGAGGAGGGCCTGGCAACCCGCTCCAGTATTCTTGCCTGGAGAATCCCCGTGGACAGAGGAGCCTGGCGGGCTGCGGTCCACGGTGGCAAACAGTCGGACACGGCCGAGCACCGAACACACACACAGGCAAGAGGGAAGGCACGCAGAGGTCGGTAGAGAGCCAGGATAGATGGGAGAGCTGTGTGGGCAGGAAGGGCCGGTAGGTGCCTTTACCTGTGGGAACCATGGGTCTGTCCCATGGGTCTGGGGTTAGTGGGCCTTTGGGGACATCGGGGAAAGAATTCCAAGCTAACTGTGGCAACAGAAGCCTGCTTGCAGTGGACAGAGTTGGGGATGAGGAAAGGGAGGGAACATTCTTGGGGTCACTCTTTGCAGAAGTAGTTGAATTCGTGTAGACTCTCTGTCCTGTGGTTCAGGGAAACGGCACGTGGCATTACAGAATGCTGCACTGTTGTGTCATTGAACTTGGGTATGGAACCTTCTAGATGCACAAGTGCAGAGGCAAGATGGGAGCAGTAAGGCAGGTCAGGCTGGGCGAGACTTGGATGGCACCCAAATGAAGTGGTTACTGCAGCCAGAGTGTGATTTGGGCTCAAATTTAAGTAATTAAAGTTTATCTCGTCCAGCTCCAAAGGATAAAGCCTTCTTTTTTCGTAAATCAGACTAGTTTGGGACTCAGTGAGAATGCAGTCAAAGGAGGAAATTAGTTGAGTTTGGGTCTGTTTTATTATATTTATAATTTTAAAAAATAGTTCCTACTTTCTTATTCATTGTGTGCTTCTCCTGTGTATCTTATTTTTTTTTTTTAAGGCGAGGACAGCAGTTCTGAGAGCGGTTCTGAATCTGGTGAGTTATCTGTGTATGTGTTTCTTTAATAACAGAATTCTAGTTAAACATGGACACCTTTATTTTTCTTTTAGTGTAAAGCCCATATCACTGATGTTGTTTAAGGACATAGTAATTACAAGTGTCCTTTTTGTGAAGTACCGAAAAGTACTTACATGGTAAATAATTTCTAGTTGGCAAGTAAAGTGGCAAAACAGGATGAGCTGAGGAAGAAAGACAGGAAATGGTTGCTATTGGTGAGAGGCAAATACTTTACCTATTCTTCCATTTGCCTGTGTGTTTTTTTCTTAGTTGTCATATGAATTTCATATGATATATGATTTCAACCTTTTTTTTTTTTCCTGTAGATAATGAGGAGGCAAAACCAGAAAAAACAAGTGAGTATATCCTTCCTTCTTCTGACTTTCTTTTTTGTTACTGAAAGGAAGAAAGAAGAATAGGCTTTGAGATCTTTAAGTTGCAGGTTGCTTGCTCACGATCTTTTTCTGTGTCAGATTGGGCTCAACACTGGGAAATGAATAAGCATTTTGAAAATTTGAGCTCAGTACACTTGGAATACAAGGGGTGTGTTCCTGGTCTGCACTGATGCTGAGACTGTGCATGCGCGGCTTTGCTCTGCGGTTCCCAGAGGAGAAGAGATTGAGGGACTGACCAAAATCTACAGCCACAGCCTCTGCTTCCTCTCGTGGTGGGCGCTGCTCACAGTTAATCACAGAGTAGACTGTTCACTGCTGAAAATGTGGTACCATTTGTGGTTTAAATTTTCTGGCTTGCTGTTCTGGTTGTTTATGAACAACTTGAGTCATGAAACCACTGTAAAGATATAGATTCTAAATATAAAATTTGCTTTTGGTCTAAAGTTTTGTGAAAAACTTAAGTTGCATGACTAAGCTTTTATTTTAACTGATTTTATTATTCTTTAGGATTTTTTTCCCTCTCCCAGTTCTTAGAATATAATCTGCTTATGAACACAAATACTATGACAAGGCAGTCAGGGGGTTTCTTTATAATATTTTAAAATAAATGAAGTCTTTTTACTCAGAAGTCCTGTATTTAATCTAATTCTCTCTGCAGTTTCCCAGTGGGGAACTCATGAAGGTAATCGTAAGCTCCTTGTAGTCATGTTGTGTATAGATAAGAACCTGTAGTTATTTTTGTATCACACGAGGAGTAGCTGTCACCATCTGATACCCATAAGGAATAATGTATACTAGCCTTCCTACTTCCAATCCTCCTTATTCATAATAAGGATTATTTCATCCAATTAAATGCAATCAGAAGTCCAGCCTCCATAGATTGGACTGGAATAGAAATGAAGTCAGAGGCTGTGTCTTGGGATCTGTTCTCTGTTGTCACTGGTTAATAACTGAGTAAATGGCCCTGGAGACACGGGATCCAGAGACAGGGCCCCCAGGGTCCAAGCAGCCAGGCTTGGCCCAGGGCCTCGCCAGGGTGGCAACCAGGTGGAAGGCATTTGGAATCTGTGAGGCTCGATACAGGCTCGGACTTGAATGGGAAGCTGGAGTGAGTGCCGTCAGACAGGGCACGTGCAGGAAATGGAGCCGCTGGACCTGGCCCTCGGCCATACGAGACACCTGGATGTCCAGGGCTATCCGCAGGGCCCTGCCTTTCCCAAGGTTCTTCTCTTTGTTAAAAGACCTTTTATCCTCCACCTTGGGGAAGAGGTCAAAAAGATACCCCCCATTCACCTCCATTCTCAGGTCAGATGGGAGGACCAAATAGTCTACCCTGGGATGCTGGCTTCTCTGTGGATGGGCCAACTGGCCGTGCAGGCTCACCCATCATCCTTCTGATTGGATATACCTTCTGAGCTCCAAAGTCACCTGAATCGCATGGATTAAAGAGAAGCCGAGGGTTTTGTGTTAGAGAGAAGTGCATCAGTTTCTCTGCTTTGGCTGGGAAGACCTGGTGGAAGACTGTGTGCTAGGCTTCTCTAACAACTTTCATTTTCTCAGCTCCCCAGGCAAATAGCAAGACACAAAAAACATGGGATGTGAGTGAAATGCAGTGTAGATGATAGTCATTAAATATTTAGAATTTTATGATGCTTTTTAGGATAGCGACTGTGGAATGGGATTGAAATATTTTCCAGTGCAGGACTTGAATTGGTGTTTCAGAACCTTCAGATCTATGGTATTCTGAGTCCAGAATTCTGAATATGTTTAGTCTCTATTTTCTAGTTCATTTTAATGCTGTTTTTAAAGTCTGGTTCTGTCTTGCAACCCCTGGTCCCTGTGTAATGTCCTGAGAGCAGGCAGCTTATGTAGCAAGGACTGAAGCCAGGGTCCTGGGGCAACAGAGAGGGGGTCCACTCCTGGGCATTGGTGGTGGCCTGGGCCTTCCACATGTGCTCAAGATGCTTGTCTTACTAATGGGACTCATCCTCCCAAAGGTTGTTCAGACCTTTCAAATCTAAAAGCAAGTATTCAACACATTAGGTCGTCTCCCAAGTGAAAGGTTATTGTCTGCTTCAGAATTATTAATGTTTTTGAGTTTCACACATCACCATAGCAAAATAACAGCTAGCACTCGCTGACTGCTTGCTGAGTGCCAGGCGCAATCCTTACCTATAATTTAATATTCTGTCTTTCTGGGCGGTGGTATTACGTTAATTCTCATTTAACAGATGAGGAAAGTAATAGAGAAAGATTTCATACATAACTAAAGAGCCTAAACTCATGCAACTAGTAGCCGGTGTAGATAATAGAAAAATTCACCACTGTTCCCCTTCATAATGTATTTTTGTATTCTGGGATTCTAGTCATTCAGAAAAGGAACACTTACCAGGCCCTGGGATTACAGTCCTTGTGAAACTTGCATTCTAATGGGGAGAGAGACAGGAAGCAGAAACACTGAGCTGATCATGTGCGAGGTGGTGAGCAGTGCCCTGAAGAAAATGAAAGGGGGAAGAGATGTGTCAGGCAGGCCCTTGCTTTGGGAGAGGGGTGGAACATCAGGAAAGCCTCTCTGATAAGGTGACATTTGAGCAGAGACGGCAGGGATGTGACCGGGTAAGCAATGTGAATATTCAGCCCGGGAGACAGAGAGTGCAAAGGCCCTGAGGCAGGAGCTTGCTTTGGTGTGGAGAGTGGTTCCGAGTGACTGGAGGGCAGTAAACGCAGGGAGGCTGGCCAGGGACGAGTAGTGGGGAGCCAATGGAAAGAGTCTGCATGCTAAATCAGAGACTCTTAGACAATTCCACCATCAGTTCAGTTCAGTCGCTCAGTCGTGTCCGACTCTTTGCGACCCCATGAATCGCAGCGCGCCAGGCCTCCCTGTCCATCACCAACTCCCGGAGTTTACTCAAACTCATGCCCATCAAGTTGGTGATGCCATCCAGCCATCTCATCCTTTGTCGTCCCCTTCTCCTCCTGCCCCCAGTCCCTCCCAGCATCAGGGTCTTTTCCAATGAGTCAACTCTTTGCATGAGGTGGCCAAAGTACTGGAGTTTCAGCTTCAGCATCAGTCCTTCCAATGAACACCCAGGACTGATCTCCTTTAGGATGGACTGGTTGGATCTCCTTGCAGTCCAAGGGACTTTCAAGAGTCTTCTCCAACACCGCAGTTCAAAAGCACCAATTTTCCGGTGCTCAGCTTTCTTCACTGTCCAACTCTCACAGCCATACATGACCACTGGAAAAACCATAGCCTTGACCAGACGGACCTTTGTTGGCAAAGTAATGTCTCTGCTTTTTAATATGCTATCAAGGTTGGTCATAACTTTCCTTCCAAGGAGCAAGCGTCTTTTAATTTCATGACTGCAGTCACCATCCACAGTGATTTTGGAGCCCCCAAAAATGAAGTCTGACACTGTTTCCACTGTCTCCCCATCTATTTCCCATGAGATGATGGGACCAGATGCCATGATCTTAGTTTTCTGAATGTTAAGCTTGAAGCCAACTTTTTCACTCTCTCACTTTCATCAAGAGGCTTTCCTTAAACATGCCTAAAATCAGATGTCAGTTCCTCTCTCACTGCTCCACTAATCTCTAACTATGCTAAGCTGAAGGGCTGAAGCCAGTCAGGCTCTGTCTTGGGGATAACAGCTCCAGCTTAGTTCCCGACTTCTGGCCCCTCTGAGGGACTTTGCACTGGGGCCTGTAGCTGCCCCGCTGAGACACTGGTCTAGCTGAGGAGTGACTGGTGAGGAGTTCGTTCCTGACCGCCTGTGCCCTGAGCTCGTTTTGTCTCCACAGATGGGGCGCTAGGAGAGTCTTCCGCCGAGGAAGCGTCTGCTCAGGGTAAGAGCGAGGCGGTGCCCTTGCCCTCCTGTGTCCACTAAGGTATCCTGTTCGCCCTGCGCCCATGCTGTGAGATGAGGGGGGTGCGAGAGCTGTTTGCTTCAGCGTCCAAAGATCAGCTAAAGACTTAATGTGCCAAAGTGGGGTGCATGGAAGCTTTCACATTCAAGCTTATTTTCCTGCTTTATACCAGGGGTCCCCAACCCCTGGGCGACTGTCTGGTACCATTAGGAACCGGGCCACACAACAGGATGTGAGCGGTGGGCTAGCGAGCGCAGCTTCATCTGTACTTACAGCCACTCCCCGTCGCTTGCATTACCGCCCGAGTGCCTCCTGTCAGATCAGCGGTGGGACAAGATTCTCATGGGAGTACAGACCCTCCTTCACAGTACAGACTGTGAACTGCCCAGTCCTTATGAGACTTTAGTGCCTGATGATCTGATTCTGCCTTCTGATGTGTTGTATAATTATTTCATTATCTATCACAATGTCATAAAAATAGAAATGAGGTGCACAATAAATCTAATGCACTTGAATAATCCCAAAACACCCCCGCTCTCACCGACCCCCGAGTCCATGGAAAAATTGTCTTCTGTGAATCCAGTCCCTGGTGCCAAAAAGTTTGGGGACTGCTGCCTTATACCTACAGCAAGACTCACAAACAGAATGTGTCATGTATCACCAAATCCACTCAACGAGATGTTTAATATACGTTTAAGGTTCCGGTTGGGCTTGCCCGGTGGCTCAATGGTAAAGAGTCCGCCTGCAATGCAGGAGACACAGTGGGCCGGGACAATCTTCTGGAGCAGGAAATGGCAACCCACACCAGTATTCTTGCCTGGAGAATCCCACGGACAGCGAACCTGGCAAGCCTCAGTCCATAGGGCTGCAAAGAGTCAGACACGACTGAAGTGATTTAGCACGAAGTTCTTACTGGTTGTGAAGCTGGGTGTGGGGGGTGGGGTTAACTGATTTACCCTGTGACTGACTTATGCCAATACATGTGTGACAATATCTTTTACAGTTGAAGAATGGGAGGTTAAAGAATTGCCCACACAGCATTTTAATTCAGGTATGAACTTACATTCTCCAGAATAGTCTCATTATTGCTGAGGGGGCCTATGTCTTTGAATTTTGTAATATGGTCATGTCATATATATTTGTCAAAAAAATTTTGCCTGAAAATGCCAGTCACATTCCTGTAAGTAAAATTTTTTCTCTATCATTTAGAATCTAATAAAATCCAGTCTCACTGTGAACACTGTAATGCTGAAAATGTAAGTATGCTTTTAATTATAAAGGATGACTCTTTAATTTGCTTTATTTAAGAAAATGACATTTGCTTATATGTTGTATCTGTGCTTTTTCTCCAGAAACACAATGAACTGGTGACTCCCAGGCTTCTTTCCCGAGGACAGTTTTTGTGAGTCATTGGGAATATGGGAGACATGATACCATTAGTAATTTATCTGTCTGTGTAAAAATAACCCCAAGTTGGGGAAACACAAAACAGCATAACTTCACACATTTTACGTACTTTCTTGGATTGTTTTCTTTTTGTGTATATATATCATTTTGTTTATTTGTTTTGGCTGTGCCGAGTCTTGTTGCCGTGCGAGCTTTTCTCTAGTTGCGGGGAGTGGGGGCTGCTCTCCTGTGCCACACGGGCTTAGTTGCTCCGAGGTAGGCGGGATCTTCCCGGATCAGAAATCAAACCCGTGTCTCCGGCATGGGCAGGAGAATTCTTTACTACCGAGCCACCAGGGAAGGCCTTAGATTGTTTCCTTTGAGTGTGATGCTGCTTCAAAATGTTGTGGAGTTCCCTCAGTGCTTTTGAGTGAAATTAAATAAACAAAAAAATGAGTTAAAAAAATTTTTTTTTAAAGAAATCCTCTCCTAAACAAACATCAGGACTTGACAGGTGTTCTTATCTGTCCAATGCAGGCTGAAGGTGGATGGAGAGGGAACTTACCAGTGCACGGAGACTGGTCTGATATTTGAGGTTAACAGGAAAGTTGATATCAAGTATTGCGTCTTGTCCTGGAGCAAATACTCAGACCTCATTGTGAAGCCCTGGGCCGTCGGTGGACCCTTGTTTGATGTTAAATGTGACCCGCTCTGTCTTACCTCCATTCAGTTTCCACATTCCCTCTGCTTGGGTCGTGAGTACTTGTTTGCTAAAAGTTTAATTGGCACGTGCATGTGTGGACGTGTGGGTATGTGTGCAACGCATGCAATGCCCAGGACACTAATTCACCTTCATGTGTTAACAGACCGAGATGCCAGCATGACATTCAAAGTCTTCCACGTTAAAAGTACTGGGGCCTCATTAGAATATACTGTGGACCATTCTGCCACCCACGTCAAATGGCGTGTGAGCTCTCTTTCTCCTGTGGGACCTGTTATTCAAAGCGAAGAGACGGTATTCCACCACGGGGCGGTGATCCTGTACAAAGCCATCGACCATAATCCATCCTTGTCTTTTCGAGTGTATGTAGCAACCAATAATGAATCCTTCATCAAGGTAAAGTCAATGAAAGTGAATACTAAATGTTGAATACTGTGTGTTCAGACTTTAATGCAAGGTCTGGGTGATGTCTGTTGATTTAAGATCTGGGTGTCTCTGTTGATTTAATTGTCTCCCCATGGTGGATCTGATGTCATGCTCACTCACTGACATTATAAGATCAGTGCCAGGTCCTCAGATCCTTGGGGCATGGGTGTTTATACACATGAACAGCTTCGGGAGGAGAGCAGATAGGAATATAGCTCTCTAGAGGTGGGTGTGGCACAATCAAGCAGGCCTGGCCTCGGAGAGGGTTGCCTGGAGAACAGCCAAGGCCATCTATTCTTTACAGCCTTGCTGCTGAACATGTGATTTGGGGACCAGGGAACCAGGAGTGGCTGGTTATTGTCAGCAGGGTGCTCCTTAAAATGCCAAATCTCAGCACCACCCAGACCTGCCTGCCCTGCTCAGAATTCCCAGGTGACTGGGACATTACAGTTGGCGAGACACCTGCTCTGGATTCACTGGGGGGGCCGTTTCGGGTCTTTGGGTCAAATGTAGGGAGGCTGGAGATTCCTCCTTGGCTTAACGCTCTGCCAGTAAGACACACCTCATAGGGTAACTCATTCCAGAGTAATTTTTTGGATAAAAGTTGACGTTTGGTTCGTGGGTTCAACATTCTAGGTTTTGTAGTAGTAGATATTTTATGAAGCACCCAATACGTTTAAGGTATAATGACCTGAGGGGAAGGGTTTGAATATTCATAATGGAACCCGTTTGCCAGAATGCAGAATAAATCTATGTTGTTTAGCCCATTTTCTGAACTATATCATTGAGAACAGAGGATTGAATCTCCTTTTATACCCTGGCCCATTCTAAATACAGTTATAGTGACTTAGAGGTGGGTGGAGCACTGACAAAAGATAAAGCAGTGACTCAAAATTATCCTTTCAGATTCAAAATCAGGGTTTGACAGATGTGAAAAAAAAATAAGCGTTCGGTTCAGTTCAGTTGCTCAGTCATGTCTGACTCTTTGGACCCCATGAACCGCAGCACGCCAGGCCTCCCTGTCCATCACCAACTCCTGGAGTCCACCCAAACCCATGTCTTTTGAGTCGGCGATGCCATCCAACCATCTCATCCTCCGTCGTCCCCTTCTCCTGCCCTCAATCTTTCCCAGCGTCAGGGTCTTTTCAAATGAGTCATCTCTTCGCATCAGGTGGCCAAAGTATTGGAATTTCAGCTTCAACATAAGTCCTTCCAATGAACACCCAGGACTGATCTCCTTTAGGATGGACTGGTTGGATCTCCTTGCAGTCCAAGGAACTCTCAAGAGTCTTCTCCAACACCACAGTTCAAAGCATCAATTCTTCGGCGCTCAGCCTTCTTTATAGTCCAACTCTCATATCCATACATGACCACTGGAAAAACCATAGCCTTGACTAGACAGACCTTTGTTGACAAAGTAATGTCTCTTCTTTTTCATATGCTGTCTAGGTTGGTTATAACTTTCCTTCCAAGGAGTAAGCGTCTTTTAATTTCATGGCTGCAGTCACCATCTGCAGTGATTTTGGAGCCCCCCAAAATAAAGTCAGCCACTGTTTGCCCTGTTTCCCCACCTATTTGCCATGAAGTGATGGGACCGGATGCCATGATCTTAGTTTTCTGAATGTTAAGCTTTAAGCCAACTTTTTCACTCTCCTCCTTCACTTTTATCAAGAGGCTCTTTAGTTCTTCTTCACTTTCTGCCATAAGGGTGGTGTCATCTGCCTATCTGAGGTTATTGATATTTCTCCCGGCAATCTTGATTCCAGCTGTGCTTCCTCCAGTCCAGCATTTCTCATGATGTACTCTGCATATAAATTAAATAAGCAGGGTGACAATATACAGCCTTGATGTACTCCTTTTCCTTTTTGGAACCAGTCTGTTGTTCCATGTCCAGTTCTAACTGTTGCTTCCTGACCTGCATACAGGTTTCTCAAGAGGCAGGTCAGGTGGTCTGGTATTCCCATCTCTTTCAGAATTTTCCACAGTTTACTGTGATCCACACAGCCATGATAAAGTATACTTCTTTGTGAATTATAATTTGAGTTATAGAATTTATATCAAGCTACCCACTCCCAGTGGTTTTAGGTTGTAGTATTTGCATGCTTTAAAAATGTTATACAGATTATAACTAGCAATACGTATTAAAGTGTAAAAACTTTAAGTAACAGATTTTTTTGTTTCCTCCTAAGAAAGTAAAATATGCTTTCTGTAATCTCACTAAAGATAATACTTTCAGTTGGGAAAGTAGTCTTCAAAGTGGTATAAAAATAACTGCATCTAAAGTATAATTCCTAGAGGAGGAAATGGCAACCCACTCCAGTATTCTTGCTTAGAAAATCCAATGGACAGAGGAGCCTGGTGGACTATAGCCCATGGGGTCACAAAGAGTTGGATATGACTGAGCGACTGAACACACATACCTATAAAGTAGAATTAGCATAGATTTGGAAAAAGCACTATTATTTAATGAACCTTATATTTTAAAAGTAAATTCAGTTAACTGAAAGAGCATGATCCAGACTTCCTGGGAAGCTGGGGTCAGGAGCTGATTACATCAGCAGACGTGGAGAAGGCTGCCGTCAGGACAATGGAGAGCGTGGCATGGGGAAGGCAGGATATCCTTCCTGGCTGATGTTTTATTTTTACACCTCCAGTTAATTTTTTTTTTTTCCTGTGTAGGAAAGGATTTCCTTGAACTCTGTCTCAAAAAACCTAAATTTTATATTCAGCCATACAGCTACTTTACCAAGGGAGCTTGGGCCAGAGATTACATTCACCTCTTGGGGGGGCCTTGGAACAATACATGTAAAATCGGTGTCCCCTCTAGGGCCACGTCAGAAAGAGAATTGTGCTAGCAGGATGGGAACATATCCAGTGTGGTGCAGACACACACTGGGAGTCACCTGGAACCACTGCCAGTAAAGAGGTGCTCTCTTTTCAAGTGATGGGCATGGAATTGGTCCGCATGTGTCATGCAAGTGCTCATGTAACGTGCTCAGACCCTTCAGAAGCAAATTGGTGGTGCCACAGAGGGTATAGGTGACCCTTTTGGCTGTAGTGCTTTGGTGGGGAGATGTTTGGCTGTGTGAGAGATGCGTAGGACAAAGGTGCCTCCACTTCTGGGCCTTTTTTCCCTTGTGATCACTGTGGGACATCCTCCCTGGCCGTCACTTCTGTAGGAGGACATGAAAATAATGCGACCGGCACATACACTGCCCGGCTCTTGAGTTTGACTCTCACAGTTGTTGCTGATGGATTTCAAAACCCAACCTATTTCCACCTTTAGGATATTTCCAAGTCTGTAAAGCACTCCTCTAAGAAATTCATGAAAATCGACAAGCCTCCGGTTTGCCAGAAGTTGCTGCAGAATGGGAAGAAGTACAGGCTGATCAGTGAGCCAGAAGCTGAGATCACCCCAGAGGTAGACACTGTAGAAAATCAGCTTTGAGTAGCAGTGGGGGGAGTGTGTAGATTTCTTAGATATAGCATCTTGAAGATATTTAAAAATAATGCATTTTGTTCTCCTTTTTTATTTCCCAGTGTCTAAGAAAGCAGTTGTTTTGTTAAACTTGCATTTTATTCCAAAGGTCCTGTTGAATTTCAGGGTTCATCTGCAGTCATCAAAAATACAGACTCTCCATTTCTCTTTCCCCTTGAAAAGGTTTTCGGTTTTCTTGCATTTTAAATTAAGTTATTCAAATAATTTTAGCTTCAAAGGAATACAAAACTTAAGTTTAAGTCATGCAAAGCATTAAAGGTTAATGGAAAAGAGTTGCTAACAAAGGATATTGGGCTTTTCCTACTGGAAGGCATTTGAAAAATAGTTATGGGAATAAATTGTTAGATTTGAAGCATTCACAGTACACACCACAACACTTGTGATTTTGGCTTCTCGGAAATGACTTAGTTATTTTTAAAGTTTATTTTCATTATGTGCCCTGGGTGTATGCCATAGCTTATCTAGTCTGGACATCTGTGTGGAAATTCCTTTTGTCTACCTCCTTTGTCTGTTTTACAGTTTATGAAAAGTTGAAAACATGTTTTGATTCCATTTTAAAAGTGGGAGGCAAGAGAGCTAATTGCAATGGTCCATGTTGCATTGTTGCATTGGTATTATCAAGGCCTTGCACCTTATAGAAGCAGTCAGGTTGGTCAGGACAGTCTTCCTTCCTGTTTTGTTTCAAAGCATCTCTGCACATGCTTTGAACCATTTGAGCGATACAGTAACACGGCTGAGGAAGCCAATGTGCAAAGCAGGTGGGCGCTCTGCCCAGGCCACACAGGCGAGCATTGCCCATGGCCCCGACTGCCTTGGCTCCTGAATCTACCATCTCCCCACTGGGATCTGAGAGGTTGATTTTCGTCCCTTCCATACCGATCAGGCCCCAGCAGATGGCACATCAAGAGAATCACGAGAATCAAACTGCAGCCTTGTCTGGGCAGTGGAACTAAATGAGAAGGGTGTGCTTTTCAGTGGCCTGTGCAGCATAATGGATTTCCCTGGGAAGCTTAAAAAAAAAATTCGGTGGCCTGGGTCCCACCTCCAGAGATGCTGACTTAACTGGTCTGGGAATGGCCCAGGCATTGGACTTGTTAAAGCTCCCAAGGTGACTATAATGTGCTACCAAGGTTAAGAACCACTAGGAGAGGGAAGAATACATATTGAATGGGTGGATGTTCCCAGAAAGAGACCGAGGGGATATCAGGAGTTGTTTCTTACAAAAGATGTTGATAGCTAGAGGGCTTTAAATAGTCTGCATTCTGGTGCGTAGTCAGTCACATAGTGAGTGCATAGTCTGTCACTAACTGTGTGCTCTCTCTTAACCAAATTTCTGGTCTATAAAATGGGGATAATCTCCCAAGATTGCTGTAAGGATCATATAAAGTAATGGTTTGGGGCACTCCTGAGAGTTGTAAAACTCCGTGTAAATATAAGGTGCTCTTATTAGTTTTATACCATTAATGATTTGCTTAACTGACATCAGATGTGCCTATTACCAGCCCGCCTGATAAAAGCTAAGAATTAAAAAACAGGTAAGTCACAGTCTTTTCCCTCAAAGACGCCAGTGTAGTGAGGGAAATGCTCCATTCATGTAGAGAAATAATTTTACTATAACGTGGTGTTCCTTTAGAGACGAGTACAAATGCAATGGGTTTCCAGGAAGGCTTTCTCATGGGTGATGTTGGCTCTGGGATTGAAGGGTGAGGGATTCCCTGGGAGAGACAAGCTTTCCCAGGCTGTCCTGGGAGAGGTGGCCGCAGGTGCCTAACGAGGGCACGGAACTGTGCAGCTGGGCTGAGCCCCAGGAGAGTTCTGGGGAAATGAACCTGGAAGGATTTAGGCGAGGGGGGTTAGGGGAGGCGCTGTCTCAGCTTTGTAGAGCTCGGTGACTGACCCTTGGAAGGTTAGGAGGATAATACTAGTGACTTGGAACAGAAAGGAAGAGGAACAGATTAAGAGCATTAGTTTGTGATGGTGACACCCGGTGCAGTTCACTGATGTTTTTTTAAAGATGTATTTCTTGCTAGAAAGTCTGGAGAGAAGCAGAGGCATGGGAAGCCAGGAGACAGTCTGAATAGTGGTTAAGAGCTCAAGACTTTGGAGTCATAGGCGTGTATTCCAATTCCAGTTCCACCACTTAGATGTGGACTTGGGCAAATTCATTCACTTCTCTGGGATCGTTTACTTATAAAATAGTGATAAAAGGATTTGTTGGGGGAAGGTGGTGGTCAATGAGGGAATGTGGACACAACACTGCACATGGTTCTGTAAATGTGAAACCAGTTGGACAGGTCAGAGAATGATCTAAGAGAAAAGCGGTAAGGGGCTTAAAGCACCTGGGAGAGGGTGGCTGATGGTTGAGCACAGGTTCTATTTGGGGAACATGAAATACTGGAAGTCAGGAAAGGGCTGAAAAGTTACACTTTGGAAAACAAGGGCCATGGGACTAGAAGCTTCAGTGAGGTGGAAAACAGTTCTGAGTAAGAGTAAGGAGGGGCTGAAAGCGGGAGAGAGAGAGGAGGTGTGGTTAAGGAGTGGATTTACAAGGTCAAAACTTCAACGGGCGTCCACTGAAGCACTGACCCTTCTCATTGCCTTTAATCCTTATCTGACATTTTATGTTGTTAATTAATGCAACTTTTAAATTTACGAAAACCACCTTTTTTTTTTGAAGGAAATTGAATTTGTGGATGGTTCACTTTTAAAATTGAAAAGTTATATTGAAGTGTATCTGGAGCAACCAGTGGAGTTTAAATTACTCTTGGTTGAAATGGATTCCGAGGAAATTGTATGGAAGGCAAAACTGAGAGAGTGTGAGTATCTTGTATCTTGAATTAAAACTCTGTTTGGCAGGTGGGGGGTTAGGGAGGGTTGGGGGGAGTGGCTTGGGTGGAAAGCAAATAGAGTATTCGTCTGTTCCATCACCATAACATCAAAAAATTTGATTAAGAGAAGCAGAGGCCCCAGTTCTTGGGACAAAAGTGCTGGCTCTGGTTCTCAGGCCCCCACCATCAAATCCCCACATTCAGCAAATGCACAGAGCCCATATTTGCTATTGAGACTTTATACTCCAGAAACAAAACCCAATCTAATCCATTTGGGATTCTGTCCTAGTTTAAGCCAGAAGCTTTTGTATAGGTGTGACTCCTGTTTTCAATATTACACCCTTAAATTAGCCAGTTTGAAATAGGCCCTTTTATCCAAACTACTGTTACTTACCCCAGAGGAGTCCTAGTTTTGGGATTCTGTATTGGAGATTGTATTATTTAATTTGCTCAAATAAATGAACCTGAAAGATGTTACTTTTTAATCATAGCAAATGCCACAGTAATAAAGGTATTTAATATGTAGCAACCTGAATAACAGATGTTCTTCCAGACTAAGTCTCTTGGCAGTTTTAAAGACCACTTTTTAAGACTTCTTTTTAAAACTTTACTTAATAATATTCTGCCTCATAAGATGGTTCTGCTTTCTATTATTTTGGGGAGGCCTATCCTAATGATGAACAGAAATTGCCCATCACTCATAAGATGTCTTCGCTCAAGGGACCTGTGGAAGGCCTGCCCAACATAAAGACATCTGTTAGAGCAGGGCTGAACTCATGGGGCAGGTGGTGTTAAATCATAATGAAGTTTCTGCAAAGAACCCACCAAGTATACATAATGATAATACATATATGAGATTCTTTTACGTGTGTGTATTTGTGGGTGTGTGGGTGTGTGTGAGTCACTTAGCCATGTCCGACTTTTTGCGACCCCACAGACTGTAGCCCACCAGACTCCTCTGTCCATGGAATTCTCCAGTCAAGAATACTGGAGTGGGGTACATATAAATATACTTAAAATTTAAAGATGTTATTTATTTTTAGAAAATGTTTATGGCTTCCTTCTCCATATGCCACATGGTGTTCTATTTACAGTAGTTTTAGATTTAGAGAAATACGGAAGGAATGATATTTCACCTGGCCTCTGGGTGTGGCAGATACTATGCCACCAGTGTGCAGATGACTGAAATATGGGAAATGCTGGTCCCACCAGACATGTTGGAAGGAGTTCAAGCTCAGGATATTTGCATACATACCAAGTTAAAACCCACATTTGAATTTGAGAGAGATTACCAAAACCCTAGAGCTTCACGCGCTTTCACACATCGATGCTTTAATTCCAATTTCATACCACTTTTCCAACTGCTGCTTATTGTACCTTAACAGGTGACTGGGTTCAGCAAAATCGGAACCAGAACATTTCAAAAAGCAGCACAAGTGGTAAGTGCTTGTAAGTGGACATTAAACTCGTCTCTTCCTTCCATACACTAGAATTTTAATTCTGCTTTGCAAATCCAGTAACGTTCAGGATCTGTTAAGTGTTCCATAACTCTTAATCATCTAAATGAGCTTTGAATCCTTTTTTAATTTGCTGTCAGAATGATGATTTTAAAATGATTTTTGAAAAGTCCAGCTTGAAGATGGGTGGATAATAAAACCACAAGGGAAAGCCAATTTGTTGTTATTTTTTTAAAGGTAACAGGCGACGAAAAAGGAGTAACAGCTTACCCGATGAGATGGTCTATGATAAAAGAATGAAGCAGATTGACAGTTCAGGTTTGTAAAAATGTCCTCTGTGGCTGTCAGTCACTTCCTCTGGTCTCCCCCAGGACATTCATCTGACACATGTTCTTCTTGGGTCAGTCTCCCTGGAGTCATATCTAGGTGTGCCTGCCCTCCCAGCTACCTTCCCCCTGTGTCCAAGCTTCTCAGGCCTGGATAAAGGTCCTAGGTGGTCCGCCCCAGCTTCCTTTTCCACCTTGGCTGCCCAGTCCTACCCTGCACTTGGTGAAAGTAGAATTGGGGGCCAGGGGAAGGTCTTGCAGCCTGTAGGCTCAGTGGCCACGGCCTGTCCATCTGTGCATTTCCTATAGCATTGAGCCTGCAGCCTCTAATGTAGAAGATAATGAGCGTTCACTGAAGAAGTGAATAGTGAATGTCCATGTGTGCATTCACTGGCTTCACAGTTATTAACTATATTTGGGGGGAGGGAGCCACCAGCTCAATTATTAGAGATAAAGGTCAAGTTAATTTCTTCCATTTAAATGGCAGAGACCAAGGCTTGATAGCTGTGAAAATACAGTAGAGATTTAAGCACTTAACAACAGTACTCCAAGGAACCAGAAGATGGAGTATGTACCTCAAAATTCAAGTCCAACCAGAATTCATAAATCGAAGTTTAAAAACCCAGGCTCAAATTACACAAGACAAGATCTTAAGGCTTTGGGGGCCTCATGTAGATGAACCCTTTCATCAAAATATCTTTTATTATTGTAAGAAGGTGTGAATCTAAAAGCAGATAAACTCTATAGACCAAATAAGATGTTATTCACTTGGAGTTGAAGAGGATGATGTATGTCTGATTTTACTGTATATCACTAGAGAATTGTTTATCATTTCTATTAAATGAACATCAAAATAAATGAGGCTCTGGAATTATTTTTAAAACCTAACCAAATTGGAATACATATTTCTTTCAGTTTTATTGAAATATAGTTGACAAAAATTGTATATAAGTACACAATGGGATGCTTTGATGTATGCATACATTGTGAAATATTTACTGATTGAATTAATTAGCACATCTATCACCTCACACAGTCACCTTTTTTTTCTTTTTGGTGGTAGAACTCATAAGACCTTCTCTTAGCAAATCTCAAAGAGTACAGCATAGTATTTATTATTAACTGTAGTCATCATGCTGTATATTAGATCCTCAAAAATTATTCACTTATAACTAAATGGGACACATAGGAAAATTTTTTCCTTTTTTGAAGTTATTTGGCTATTTAAAATTAGCTCCAACAACAAGTAGCTAGACATAGAATAAAATGATCAAATACTACCTAGAAAATTAAGGATTTCCAGCCTTTTTAGAGTTGACAATGTGGTAGCAAATAAATTAATAATGATTTACTTTTGTTTAGGTATTTTCACATTTTTTAAGATACTGAGTGTCTATCCTGATAGTTTGAGGCTCAGCATATCATCATATTGCTTTTTAAAATATAGTCATCTCTTAACTCTGAGTCACTTTGAGATCTTGTTAAACTTTAGATACAGCATCTGACATGGTAGGTTTGGGGATTACCCCGAGAACTTGCATCTTTGATGGATGGATTCCCTGTGTGGTTTCTCTTGCCGCAGTTTGAGGAACACAAGTCTCATGTGTTAGAAGACCACTAGGGGGCAGTGGCCATCCTTTAGAAACCATTCTTGAGTAAAGTGGGTTAGGGTTCAATATAAATGTTAGGTTCCCTTCGTTAGACTATTGGCTCTAGATGAGCGAAGTGTTATGGTTCTGGAGGACGGGCAGGAAGGATTCTTCCTCTTACCCTCTTATGGCAGCTCCAGGGTTTGTAAGGCCTGGAGGGTCCTTAACGAGACTCTACCCCTGGTGAGCTTTGCTGTGTCATAGCACAGCCATCTGAAAAGTGTGAACATAGAAGACCCAGCTGGGGCTGGTATTTTGTATTGGGGCACTGGTTTGCATTGGCAAACATAATCCCTTCCAGAATGGTGACATGGCTTCTTAGTGAAAAGCAGATACTAATATTACAGACGCTGTGCCCTGACTTTTCTGTGGAATATGCTCTTCCCCCTAATGCCAGGAGATGGCAGAATGGAGACTGCAGTTCATATCTCTTGCCACCCTCTTTAAGTTAGCGCTTTGTATGTGAAGATGCAGAGATGGGCAAGGGGAAAAGTTGTATAATTTTCTTTTTGAGCCACATAAAGTATTTTTGGTGCCTGATTTTTTTTTCCCCTCCAGCCTAATTTGTTCAGGTTTGCAAAGCAATTTCATTCCCTGAATCATTGAATTATCCTTGTGAGCATTATACCCCAGTTCAACCTTATGTGTAATCATTCCCTTCGGTTCTTCAAATAGTTTCGAAAGCAGGGATTTTTTTTGGCACTTAAATTTATTTTAAAAGCAGTTAAAGTTTCAAATCATGGTATCTATACTTTCTTATATAAAGAGAATACATTTTCATTGTCAGTGACTATAAATGAAGTGTTGAGAGGAACTACTGAATTCTTCGTGTGCTTTTAGATGGGGTGAAGACTAAAACCCTGTTAACAGACACTCAGTTGTTTAACCTTGCTGAGAGGCTGGGGAAGGAGTGGTTAAAGATCGCCGTTGCCAACCTGAAGCTGAATATTAGCGAAATCGATGCCATCCGGGAGAAGGAAGACAATGTTACAATCAGTAAGTTTAAGATGCTGAAGAAGTGGCAAGAGAAGGAGCAGAGTAATGCCACAGCTCAGAATTTATGTAACTGCTTAAAAAATGTTGATTCAGTTGAAGTCCAAGATGTGCTGAGAGGTAAGCAAAAAATTATCTTAGTCATTTACTTGGGGTCAAGCTGTGTCTTGGCAAATAGCAGATCTATACTCTAGAATGTGTTAGTCACGTCTCAGCTCGGGTTCAGAAGATTGTGCAAATGCTCCGCAGTAAGCACGTGGGTCACAGTCTTAAGTAAAGGTGATTCATGTGTGACATCAGAGGAAGTATTTGAATACCATCTCAAGTGCTGGCTAGGTTTGTGACCAAGCAGGTTTGTTTGTTTGTTTGTTTAAATTGAAGTATACTTGATGTACAGTAAGGTACAGGTGTACAATGTAGTGTTTCACAATTTTTATAGGTTATATTCTGTTTACAGTTATAAAATATTGGCTATATTCCCTGTGTTGTGCAATATATCTGTGACTAAGCAAATTCCTTACCTCGCCTAAAGCCTCTATATTCTCATCTGTCAAATGGATGCAAAACTCCCAGTGTCCTAGGTCTCTTGTGAGAATGAAAAGAGATAATGCACATAAAAGCTCCAGGTTCAGGCAGTGAGACTCAGGCAGGAGTAGATAATGTCCTTTCTTGTTGTTCAGTTGCTCAGTCATGTCTGACTTTTGCAGACCCCATGAGCGGCTACACGCCAGGCTTCCCTGTCTTTCACTGTCGCCTGGAGTCTGCTCAAACTCATGTCCATTGATAATGTCTGTAACTGGAGACCTAACTGGGAGCCTTGAGCCTTCCAGACTTTCTGTGGTATTGATGCAGTGCCCCACTTGGTGGCACTAGTGAGCCTCCAGCAGCAAAGATGGGAACAGAGAGCTAAAGGGAGTTGTTTCTGGTCTCAGTCCAGAAAACCACAGGGTTCCTTCCTTTGTGTTGAAGCACTTCTTTTTTTGTGTGGCTTGACTTAGCATATTGTTAGACCCAAGGTCAAACCAATTCACAGCTTGGATTTTTATTAATATGTACTGTTACCATGATTAACAAATGCTGTGTTACTTCTCAGAAGCAAGTCAGAGAGAGGTTTTTATTTGGAATTCTGTGCGGACTTTTTGTTCCTTAAAGAATGTAAAAGTGTGTCAGCCACCCCAAAAGCTTATATGAAAAGTTAAAGTCTGGGGTGACCTCTCAGGATGCAGTCAGGTGTGGAGCGCGAGCTTTCTGAACGCCCCCACCAGTTTGGATGCAAGAGCTGCAAGCCAATAGAATAGGCAGTTTCAACATCAAATTTCTTTTCCTTGAATATGTTGAAATTATGTAAATCACTGAGGCCCACATGTGGAAATCTCCTTATTTGCATATAGGCACTTCTGCCTATTGACAGTAGTGGCCCCTGCTGTGTTAAGGAAACAATCATAGCCTCTTCCATCAAAGGAAGGCTTGGAAGTCTGACCATCTCACAGATCCTGTAGAATGGGTGGTTATTTGTCGTTTTGTTTTTATCTGCTCTTGACTTCACTAGCCGCTTGACTCGTTGCCACATAAAGCTGAATAAGGATTTGTGACATTTTTTTGGCAGTGAAATGGATCATAAAAGCTTATCAGTCCAATTTGTCACTGAATAGGAGAAAAATCTTCAGTGAGTTACAAACGAACAAAAAGCCAGAAATTTTCCAGTGTTTTCTGCCCTCCTGTAGCCAAAATATCTGGGTGATTGGCTGACTTTTGTGTCTTTATCAGGGCATTTTAGTGTCTTATAACTGCAGCCTTAAAAAATTGCACTGGTTTATCTTCATCTCAGGAAAACCCAGCCACTCCAGCAGTTCCTTTTTGAAACGGACAAGTGAAACGGCCGTTTGAAACGGCCTTTCTTTAAACACATGTGCTCTTTCCCCACAACAATGAATCCCTGAATTCGTTTCTCTCCCTTGTTAGGCTTCTTACAGGAAACGTGAGGTTTGAAAGATGAACTGGAAAAGGAAGCCTCAGGAACTTCCGCCTTCAAAGACTGTCTCCGTGGTAATGAGGCACAGACTTCGGGACCCAGAGCTACACAACCTGTGGAAGCAGCTCCTTTCACAGACCGCTTGCAGCTCACATTATTCAGGGGCAAAGGGAATGTGAAATATTTGGAAACCTTGAGGAGGAAAAAAAAGCCTCTATAATATCAAGAATTTTTTTTTGTACCTCCCACCTGCACCATCCCACCCGGCTTCCCCACCCAAACACATCCACTTATAAAGGGTGCCTAAAATGACTCAACAGCAGTCAGGCGAGAAATGTGGTAATTTTCCTACTGGAGTCTGTGAACTATGAAATTCCTATCAAGCGTTTGGAACATTTTTTTTTAGCAGTTAAGTGGTGGAGTACTTAAATTGCACCAATTTCACCTAGCTTTTTTGCCTTGTGTTATTAATGATGAAGAGAGGCTCCTGTTCTTTTAGCTCCCACACAGTCAGACACTCATGCTGCCGGGTCCAGTACGTCTTTTTATGTGAGGTGTGATTTCCGTGTCTCACATTACTAACCAATCTGGCTGGTGGTCTGTTAGACCATTAAATCAATCATGTTACCTGGCCCTAGGGTCATTAGAAAGGATTATAATCCTCTCCCCATCCGGGCTGGTGCAAACGCTCACAGGTGGTGGCCTCATCTTAACTGGGGAAGTTCACCTGGATCCATCAGTCCCTGCAGATTTCGTCAACCTTCTGAAATCACCAAACACTGCATTTCTTGACCTTGACCCTGGATTGTTTACTTCTGGGAGGGTTGTGGGGGGCGGGCAGTGTGGGAATGCCACTTAGAAATAGCCTTAGGACCAAGGACCATTGTCGTCTCTTCTCGAAGAGGACTTCCCGGGGGAACCATGGGCCATATTGGCTCTTGTTAATGGGTGAAATCTTTCTTTTTTTTAATATGTCTTAATATGTATAGATATTGTCACTCTCCCAGAATCATGCGTGTGGTGATTAACATTTTGGATATGTTTTGTTAACTTATTTGAAGAAACTATAAATTACCATTAGTCCCCTGTAGACAGTAGCTGGAGAGTAAATTCAATCTTAATGAATTAATCAGAGGAACATACTTTATAGCTGCCTGTGAAGAACAAATTCATTTTATAGGGAAGAATGTATTGATATTACTAATGATCAGGGATCCAGTGGAATTCAAATCAGTGTCACTTTATGAGTTTTTTTTTTTAATTGTTCTATATTTCAGGAAACACATGGAGTTTTAACATTCAGAAGTGTAAAATACTTAAAGGTCTTGAATTTTTTAAGTGTTTATTATTTTTTGTAAGTTGTTTTCCAAAGAAAACCGTAATTTCAGAGGTGCTTTGTATATAAGCTGGTTTCTTAACAATTTCCAGCCTTTTTCCTAATGTGGATAAAGGGAAGAACAATAAATCTGCATCTGTACAGTGCAAATATGTCCTCTTTGTGTTATTATTTACTTACAGATTACTTTTTAAAGCATCATCTTCCTTGATTGTTGTTATCTTGGCTGTTTGGGCATTAGTTGGTTTTGCTCCCAGACCCAGTTCTTGGAGTAAAGTTGAGTGAGGGTAAAGCAGGGGCAACTAACCCAGGAGTTTTCACGGATTCAGGAGCACCCCCAGACCCCCTAACCCTTCTCCCTCCAGGAATGTCCAGGAATGAGTGTTCTCCCACCTGTGCATGGGAAGGTATGTTTTTATTTAAAACCAGGTGTACTCATAATGAGCTCCTTACCTGTGTGTCTCTGTAACAGGATTTTCCTGCACATTTGCGACGTGTTTTGTTATTTTGGGGGTGGCTTTAGGGGACAGGCTTTCTCCCCTGCCTTGTCAAATGGAAGTGTTTTCACTCCATTTTCTAAAGAGGACACTGTCTTTGCTGAATTGAAGTGTATTCTCATGAGGATGGTTGTTTTCAGCAGGCGGTCCAGCCTGTTGCCATTGCTGGAAGTCCTCAGGGTGAAGCAGCCTGCTTCTTGCTGAAGGCGGAGATCCCGACTGCTGGGCGTGCATCCTTCCAGCCTACACACCGGGGTTTGAGCGTTTCTGATAATGGCTCTGTGGCTGCTACTTAACAGAGGCCCTGGGGTGGAATTCTGAGTGCAGAGTTCTGAAGTTCGTCCTGCTTTTTTAAGCTGAGACCTCCAGCCTGGAGCCTCCAGAGGACTCAGATCCAATTTACTCCAATCATGTTGTAAATTCCTAGTTAAGCAGCCTGGAGTTAGGCTGCCATCTTTATTCTGCAGAAGTCCATTCTTGCTGTGTGCTTTAACCTTTGGCATGAGTTTCCTTTTTAGAAGGGGGTCTTATCGGTGCATTTATAGCAGTGTTCTGTTTTCAAGCAAGTTGGGAAATCTAAAAGATGGTTTTGTGACATAAAAACTGCAGGGAGGGGCTTGGATGAGTTCCATGTTTTCTTTAGCTGGAGGAGCCTTTTGTGAAAGGAAGTCTCACCTGGAAGCTGCGTTGGTGAAGCATTCAGAAGTGGTGCTGCTCTGGTTCGGGGGGTTACTGAGGCCTGATGTGGGGTTGTTGAGGTGCCCTGCTGGTCCCCTGACTTTCTCCTTTGAGCGGTGTGTGAACCAGCCATTGAGGTGGCTGCCGCTGAGAAGACTGGTCTCTTGTAGCTTGTATCTGTGACATCTGCAGTGGGAAATGACCCCAGTTCCAGTTCACTGATGATCCTTCGGTGGCACATGCTCCTCATGGGCCACATAATCCCAGGCCATAGATATGCTAACCGCCCAGATCATCCACCCTGTCGAGGCCTTTCAGCCTGCCTTTCCCTCTGTAGTGATGAGAGCACGTGGCGGCTGATGCTCCATCAGCCCGGGTTCCGGAAGAGAACAGCAGAGCAGAGCCCCCAGCCGATCCACAGTGAGCCTGTTCCTCAGGCAAGAAATGGACCTTTGTTTTAAGCCAGGAAACCAACACTCTGGAGCAACCTTGGTGACTTTCACGGGTGTTCCCCCATTCTGAGCAGGTGCAGTTGTTTTGAGCCAGGGGAACATAAGCCTTCTATACTTTTTCTGTGTGATCGGAAATGATTTGATTTCTAAAAGACTTTCTTATTTATTCGTAGGTTAAAAATGAAAACCGTGGGAACTTGTGAAGATTTGCCTTTTTCTCTCTACCATTTTTAAGTACTAGGGCCTAAGTCCACAAATACATGAGTGACATGACCTTGCCTGTACTTGCATCTCTCACAGTGCAGTGAGGGAGAGAGGAGAAGCTTAAGTAGATTTGATGTTGTTTGCATGGTTATGATGACTCACTGTGACCCGAATTATGGTTTAGTTGCTAAGTCGTGTCCAGCTCTTTTGCGACCCTATGGACGGTAGCCCACCGGACTCCTCTGTCCAGGGGATCTTCCAGGCCCAGGGATCGAACCCATGTCTCCTGTGGCTTCTGCACTGCAGACAAATTCTTTACCACTGAGTCACGGGGGAAACCTGTGACCTGCAATTGAGAAGCCAAGGGTACGGGTTGCAAGCACAGGGCAGAACCAGGCCGCCTGGGCTCAGATCCCAGCGTCTACTACTTCCGGTGTAAGCCTCTATGGTCTCTCTTTATTTCCTCATCCATAAAAAGGGGAAGGCAATGGTGCCTCCTCACAGGGTTTTTGAGAGGATTCTGTGTATTTGTGGTATAAACACTTGCAGAAACATGCTTGGTACTTAGTAAGCACGGGGTAAGCATTAGTTCCTGTTGCTTCTAGAAAAAGGTTACTAGAGTGTATTGTCTCTGATGTTACATTGATGTCATAATTTACACTCATAATTTTAATATCATACTAAAAGATACATACAAATAACTAAAAGTTTTGATTTGTTGACCTAATACATGTCAACCAAAAAGTTGATAAAATTCAATTTTTGAAAAATATGTTTGGACTTTCTTCCTTATTTAAACGTTTTCTCAGTCAGCCCAGACTGCTACAACAAAATACCACAGGCTGAATGGCTTAAACAACAGAAGTGTGTTCTTCAAAGTTCTTGAAGTTGGGAAGTCCAAGATCAGGGTACTGGTGGATTTGGTGTCTGGTGAAATTTCCCAGGTTTGCAGCAGGTCACCTTATTACTGTGTCCTCACATTGGGGTTGGGGGAGACTTCTCCAAGTCTCTATTTTTTTTTTTTTAACTTTATTAACACAAGCTTTTTTTTTTTTTTTTCCTTTTGCCACACTGCAAGTCATGTGGGATCTTAATTCCCTGACTAGGGATCCAGCCTGTGCCCTCTGCATTGGAAGGCAGAGTCTTAACCACTGGCCCACTAGGGAAGTCCCCTCCAGGTCTCTTCTGACAAGGGCACTAGTCCCACGAGGACCTAACCTCCTAAAGGCCCCACCCGTCATACTGTCACACTGGGGATCAGGGATTCCATGTGTGACTTTTAAAGGAACATAGACGTTCAGTCCATGGCTGTATTGTAGATGCACTTTGCCTTAAAACAGGAAGCCACAGTTGTGCTAGCCAGAACCAACCATTTAGTCCTCAAGCAGGGAAACTGCGTGGTCCAGGCGACACAGCCACGGGGACTCCTGGCCTCTGTCCCTTCTGGCTTCAGACAAAGCCCGTGTTCCCCCACTTTGACTCGCAGGCTTTCTTTCCTCATTAGGGTGTCTAAGGCCCTTGTGCATCTCTTGAGTTGTAACATACCCACCTGTGGCTATCTGGCCAGATCACTCCGCAGAACTGACCCCTTTTCCCCAAAGCTCTGGGCCTTCGGTGGGGCCACTGTCAGCTGTTTTTTTATGTTAATTCTGGGACTCAGTCATTCTTATTTCCTTTTTAAAAAGTGATCTGTTATCAAATTTCCCTAGTAGGCTAGATCTGAGGCCTCTTTTTAGGAGGGACCTCAGTCTTCCTGTTCCCTTGTTCCCCACCCTCTGCTCTGGGAAGGTAGGACCCTGCTTGTTTGACACTGTGTCTTGGGCCAGACAGTCTTCTCTGCTGA